TTAATCTAGGTGAAATTGTTATTTTTATTGTATTAGCTCTGCCTACCCATGAGCAATTAATATTTTTCCAATTATTTAGATATGACTTCATTTGCACAAAAAGTGTTTGCAATTGTGTTCAAATAGTTCCTGGGTTTGTCTTGATAGGTGGACTCTCAAATATTATATTTTGTCTACAGTTACTGTAAATGGAATTTCTCTGTCTCTTACTGTTGGACTTTCTTAGTAATATATAGAAATACTGATAATTTATTTGGATTTACTTTATATCCTGCAATTGCTAAAGTTGTTCATTATTTCAAGTAGTTTTTTTAGTTGATTCTCTAGGATTCTCTAAGTATGCCATCATATTATCTGCAAAGAGGGATAACTTTATTCCTTCATTGCCCATTCTAATTCCTTCAATTTCTTTTTCTTCTCTTATTGATTAAGTTAACATTTCTAGTACCATATTGAATAACAGTGGTGATAATGGACATCCTTGTTTCACTCCAGATCTTACTGGAAATGCTTCTAGCTTATTCTTATTACATATAAAGCTTGCTGATGGTTTTAGATAGATGTTACTCATCATTTAAGAAAAAATTCCATTTATTCCTGTGCTCTTTAATGTTTGAATAGGAATGGGTGTAATATTTTATCAGAAGCTTTTTCTGAGTCTATTGAGATAATTACATGATTTCTGTTAATTTTATTGTTGATATGGTCAATTATGTTGATAGTTTTCCTAATATTAAACTAAACCTGCATTCCTGGTATAAATCTCACCTGGTCAAAGTGTATTATCCTCATGACAAGATGCTGTACACTCTGCTAATATTTGTTTTAATTTTTGCATCTATATTCATTAGGGCAACTGGTCTATAATTTCCTTTTCTGCTTTGGCTCTTCCCGGTTTAGGTATCAGCACCATATTTGTATCATAAAAAGAATTTGGTAGGACTCCTTCTTCATCTATTTTTCCAAGTAGTTTATATAGTATTAGAATTAGTTGTTCTTTAAAAGTTTGGTAGAATACTCTTCTAAATCCATCTGGCCCTGGTGATTTTTTCTCAGGAAGTTCATGGATGGCTTATTCAATTTCTTTTTTTCTTAAATGGAGTTAAGCATTTTATTTTCTCTTCTGTTCATCTGGTCAATTTTTATTTTTGTAACTATTTGTCCATTTCACTTAGATTGTCATATTTATTGGCATACAGTTGGGCAAAATAACTCCTAATTGTTGTTTTAATTTCCTCTTCGTTGGTGGTAAGTTAATCCTTTTCATTTTTGATACTGGTAATTTGGTTTTCTTCTTTCTTTTTTTTTCTAATCAAATTAACCAAAAGATTATCTTATTGTGTTTTTTTCATAAAACCAGCTCTTAGTTTTATTTGTTAGTTCAATATCTTTCTTACTTTCATTTTTATTACTCTCTCCTTTGTTTTTCAGAATTTCTAATTTGGTATTTAATTGGGGATTTTTTATTTGTTCTTTTTCTAGCTTTTTTAGTTGTGTGCCCAATTCACTGATTTCCTCTTTCTCTATTTTATTCATGTAAGCATATGGAGATATGAAATTTCCCCTAAATACTACTTTGGCTGCATCCCATAAGTTTTAATTTATTGTCTCATTATTGTCATTCTCTTGGATGAAGTTATTGATTGTTTCTGTGATTTAATGTTTGACCCACTCATTCCTTAGGATTAGATGATTTAGCTTCTAATTAATTTTTAGCCTGTCTTTCCATGGCCCATTATGACACACAATTTTTATTGCATCATGATCTGAAAAGGATGCATTTAATATTTCTGCCTTTCTGCATTGGATTGTGAGGTTTTTATGCCTTAAAATATGATCAGCTTTTTGTAGGTGCCATATACCACCGAGAAAAGGGTATATTCCTTTCTGTTTTCTCCAGAGGTCAACCATACCTAACATTTCTAAAATTCTATTCACCTTCTTACTTCTTTCTTGTTTATTTTGTGGTTAGATTTACCTTGTTCAGAGAGGGGGATGTTGAGGTATCCCACTAATAGAATTTTACTGTCTGTGTCTTCCTATAACTCATTTAAATTCTTCTCTAAGAATTTGGATGCTATACCACCAGGTGCATATATGTTTAGTATTGATATTACTTCATTGTCTATGGTACCTTTTAGGAAGATGTAGTTTGCTTCCTTATCTCTTTTAATTAGATCTATTTTTGCTTTTGCTTTTTCTGAAATCAGGATTGTCACCCCTGCTTTTTTTTTTTTTTACTTCAACTGAAGCATATTCTGGTCCAGGCTTTTACTTTTATTCCTCGTGTATCTCTGGTTCAAATGTGTTTCCTATCAAGAACATTTTATAGGATTATGGTTTTCAATCCACTCTGCTATCTGCTTCTGTTTTATGGGAGAGTTCATCCAATTCACATTCACAGTTATGATTACTATCTATGTCTTTCTTTCCATCCTATTCCCCCACCCATTTATGTTTTCCTTTCTCCTTTCTCCCTTTCCCTCCTCACCAGTATTTTGCTTCTGATCACTGCCTCCCTCAATCTGTGCTCCCTTCTACTGCCCCCCTTTTCTTTCCCCTTTCCTCTGCTACTTTTTTTCCTCCCTTCTTCCCTCCCTTCTATTCACCCCTTCCCTTTTTTCCCCCTTTCCTCTCCTAGTTTCCTATAGGGCAAGATAGATTTCTATATCCAACTGAGCGTATATGTTATTCCCTCTTTGAGCCTAATCTGATGAGATGAAGGTTCAAATAATGTTTACCTCCCCTATTTCTTTTCCTCTACTGTAATAGGTCTTTGAGCTTCTCATATGATGTAATTTTCCCTTTTCTGCCTCTTCCTTTCTTCTTCTCCCAGTACAAGCCTTTTTTAACCCCTTAAATAATTAATTTTTATCACCATATTAAAGTCAACTTCTACACCCATGCTCTATGTATTCCCCTTCTTAATGTCATAATAAAGACACAGTTCTCAAGAGCTGCAAGTATCATCTTCCAATATAAGGATGTAAGCAGTTTAACCTATTGAATAGCACTTTTTTCCTCTCCTGTTTACATTTTTAATGCTTCTCTTGAATCTTGTATTTGAAGATCAAATTTTCTGTTCAGCTCTGATTTTTTCAGCAGGAAAGTTTCAAAGTCCCTATTTCATTGAATGTCCATCTCCTCTCATGAAAGAATATGACATTTTAGAATTTGACTTGATGTGTTAAAATTGTTTAGAGGAGAATGTTGGGAGAATTTGTCTGGAATGCTCCATTTGCTCTGCCATCCAGGCATTGCCTCTTTCTCTTCCTCTCTTAACTTCTTAAAAATTCTGCTTCTGGGGCAGCTAGGTGGCACAGTGAAGAGAGCTCTGGCCTTGGAGTCAGGAGGACCTGAGTTCAAATCCAGCCTCAGACACTTAACACTTACTAGCTGTGTGACCCTGGGCAAGTCACTTAACCCTGATCGCCTCACCAAAAAGCAAAAAAAAAATTTTTTTTTAATTCCACTTGTGATATAATTTTACTGAAACTACTCTCTGCAAAGTTACTAATGATCTCTTGATTTTAAACACAATGGCCTTTTCTCAATCCCCATTCTCCTTGAACTTTTTGTAGACTTTGACATAATTGACCTTTCTCCTTTTCGATCCTCTCTTCTCTCTAGATTTTTGGGACCTCATTCTCTCCTGGTTCTCCTCCTACATATCCGACCACATTTTCTCTGTCTCTTTTACTGGATCTTCTTTCAAATCACACCTTCTAATTCCTAAGTGTCCCTCAGGGTTCTGACCTGGACCCTCTTCTATTCTCCTTCTATGCTACTTCACTTTTTGAGCCCATCAGTTCCCATGAATTTACTTACCATCTCTATACCACTGACTATCAAATCTACCTACCCTGCTCCAAACTCTCTACTGACCTGTAACCTCTCATCTTCAAATGCCTTTCAGACATCTTGAATTGGACATCCAATTTAACTTAATATAATAAAATCTAATAATGATATTAGATAATATAGTCAATATAATCAAAACAAAACCTTCCTTTCTTCCCTTTTTCTGGCAACATCATACTCCCAGTAACTCAGATTCACAACCTTAGAGTTTTACTTGGCTATTCACTATCTCCCTCCTCCTCCACTCTCCCGTATCCAATCTTTTGCTAAGGTCTGTCAATTTCACCTATGCAACATTTTCCAAAAATGTTTTTACCTCTCCTCACATGCCGCTACCACTATAGTGAATGGCCTTATCGCCTCAATTTTATATTATTTTGATAGTCTGCTGGTGGGTGTACCTTCCTCAAGTCTGTCCCCACATCAATTCATTCTCCATTTAGACACGAAAATGAGGTTTCTAAAGTACAGGTATGATCATGTAATCTCCATCCTCAATAAATTCCAGTGGCTCCCTAGTGTCTCCAAGAGCAAATACAAAATGCTCTAATTGTCATTCAAAACACTTTATACCCTCGTTCTCTAATTATTTTTCAGTCTTCTTCCACCCTACTCCTTGTCACTTACAGTTTGATCCAGTTTCACTGGTCACTTGGCTGTTCCATAAACAAAACACCCCAGCTCAGCTCCAAGCATTTTCTCTGTCTGTTCCCCTTGCCTGGAATGCACACCCTCCTCTGCTCTGACTTCTGACCTCCTTGGCTTCCTTTAAGTCCTAACACAAATCCCATCCTATACAGGAAGCTTTCCTCACCCCCTCTTAATTCCTTTCCTTTGTTTTGCCTTTCCTCTGTTAATTATTTACTATTTATCTTGCATATGGCTTGCATTATAAAGATTTCTTTGCGTATTAACTCTCCCATTACATTCTAAGTTCCTTAAGAGCGAGGATTTTTTTTTGACTCTTTATGTAGCTGCACCACTTAGCACAGTGCCTGGCACATAGCAGGCACCAAATAAATGTTTACTGATTGATTGATTGATGAATGTCTCCTAAATCAGATTCATTGTTCTAAAGGGTATTGTATTGTCTTTTTCCCCCCACTTACCTCTTTTCTCCTTCCGTTTTGAAAAATCAGGTTCAGCAAAGAAAACAAGGAGAGCATTAACCCCTATGTGTACCTTCCCTTTGGTGCCGGTCCCCGAAATTGCATTGGGATGAGATTCGCACTTATGAATATGAAAGTTGCAACTTGCCGACTCCTGCAGGAATTTTCCTTTAGAACTTGCAAAGAAACACAGGTGAGGATTCACATCTTTTGTTTCAGTAGTTAGGATGGTATTTTACTGAGATGATTTCGTTTTTGAAATAGAGAAATGTCCATGACACATGGAGAAATTTAATTCCACATTATTTGTGTATTTATTGCGAGCAAGCTATTAAGAGTTAACTTACCATTATTAAAATAGAAATACACAGAAAGCCAAGAGAGAAATAATTAAAGTATTGGTGGGTATATAATTAATTTGATTTAACTATAATAACAATGCAAATAATACAAAATTCTTTGTTGCAAACAATATAGTTTTTGAAGACCAAAGTACAGCAACTCTTTTTTAATTCTTTTCTTTTACAAGAACAAAACACATGTAGCATTAAAGGTCATGAGAGTGAATAAAATCTTAATTTCAGTAAGATTCTTGAATCTACCTTACAATATATTAGTATTAATGAAAGCCGAGTATGTAGTTAATTCATATTTATTGACTGATTGTCTATCTTGTGACAGTCTCTGAGGTCAAAGCTACAATTGCTCTCTATTACAATCATATCAATGTAACACTCCTTTACATGACATTCTAACTGTGTATAATCTTCTTTTACTTAAGGTATCATTAACGTTTGTAGCTACCTCTCTTTCTCTCTATAGTTTGGTATTGGGTACTTATTGAACTCTAATTGTTTTTCTTAATTGTTTCAGATTCCTCTGAAGCTGAGCAATAAGCCACTTCTTTCACCAACTGTACCTATTGTCCTGCAGGCTGTACCAAGGTCCAAGAAGGCAAACCAACCTTAGAAGTTCTTCTTCTCATTCTACTTTCCCATACCTATAATCATGCTTTCTATTTTTCAGTTTTTTCTTTGCATTTGTGAGTTCTTTCACAACATAATTAATATCACAATATGTTTTGCATGATTGAACATGTATAATGTATATTAAATTGCTTTCTGTCTTTGGGAGAGGGGAGGTGAGGGAGAGAGAAGAAAGTTGGAACTCAATTTTTTAAATGAATATTAAAAATTGCCTTTACGTGTAATTGGAAAAAAATAAAATATTCTTATTTGATATTCATTATTTAACAACTTTCCTTCTACAAACCAGTAAAGATATTTCTGGAAACTTGTTCTTTGATGTCTAATATACGTTAAAGTCATTTCAATATCATTTGGTTGGATGGGCAATGAGTTAATTTTGATTATTTTAATTTTTTGTCAATTAACTGAACAGAATATTCATATAGAAGTCCAGTTTGACATTGATAGCTCTGGGAAGGCAACAAATAGTTCAGTTAGTTCTTTTTTCTTTTTGCATTCCTTCCACAAACATTTGTCAAAAGACTTGGCTCACATAGATTGAGTTCAGTATTAAGAATTCCTCACAAGTCATTTTCTTTTGGTTGTGTCCCCAATTAGAGTTTCACCTATGAGCATCAGAATTTATCTCCTTTCTTGTTCTCTATGCAAATGGTAAAAGGATCTTCAGTTTCCACCTGAATATTTATGCCAACAATTTATCAAATATAGAATAAGCTTTCTTTCAGGTGACAAAAACTAGTTTTAAAAAACCCAACCTTTTATACCTAAGCTTGTAAACAGTCAAAACAACTCTTCTTACATTAGCTTCTATTTCACCAAAGAATACCATATGGTTGAGGTACAACTAAAACAGGAAAACATTTGGAGTCACTAGATAGCCACCCCTTAACAAAGCTCATTCCTCTTGACATGTTCCTTCTGCCCAAGTCAAGTTCACTGGAATTATGATATTTTAAATTTCCCCCCAATAAATGTTAAGTCCTTGGATTATTTAATAAGGGCTCTTGAATGTTTGAAAGAAAAGTCAGTGATGGATTATTAAAAGGTACTTGTGGAAAGACTGAATATTCTTCCAGCTGGAACATTGTAAGATATTTGTTTCTTTTTTCACCATCTCAAAGCAGTTATCATTTTTTCTTTTGTAATGTTTCTTGTATTTATTTAGTCATTGCCATTCTATTTGACCACTCTAGTGTAAACTTATATCATCTCATCCCTGCATTGCTGCCATGCTGGAGTAGGTTTGTAACTGATGTCCCTTCCTTGGATCTCTCCCTACATGAGTCCATCTATTGGATGCATACCACATTATTCTTCCTAAAATGTAATTTCAAAAGACCATTCTCTTAGTTAAATTTTCCATTTTTTAAATTCCCGTTTGTTAAACACAAACTCCTGGTATTTCATGTACATTTCTATCGCCAAAAAATAACCTTAAACATATTTTGTCAAAGTAAATTTTAGTGCTGTGTAAAGGTGAAATCATATTTGGCAGTTAGGGGGCATAAGAGATAGAGCACTTGACTTAGAATCAAGAAGACTCTTTTTCATGAGTTCAAATCTAGCCACAAGCGTCACTAGCTGTGTGACCCTGGGCCTACCACTTACTCTCTTTGCCTCAGTTCCTAATCTGTAAAATGGGCTGAGAAGGTAATGACAAATTACTCCAGTACCCTTGCTAGGAAAACCCCAAATGGAGTCATGAAGATTTAGACACAACTATAACAATTCAACGTCAACAAGAAAGGTGAAATCAATATTGCTGTCAACTATATGGACCTATAGTCTTTGTGACAGTTTGCAAGTCATTTAACCACTCTTGCCTCATTTTTATCTTCCATAAAATGGAGATAATACTTGTTTTACATTAATTCTTGCAGTTATTGTTAGGAAAGCACCTTTTAAGTTTTAAAATGCTAAATAAACATGAGTTATAATGATGATCACAGCAAAATATTCTTCATGTTCAAGAAGAACTAAATAAAATAAAGGCTTCTATGTATACAATCCCTTGATATTCCCTTGCTTGTTGCTACTTTGACCACATATACACTATTCTCCTAATTGGGAATGATCATCCATCATTTCTTTGCTATCCTAATTATGACATTCTTCTAGGTTTACCCTAAGTCCTTCCTTGTTCATTGAAGCCCAAGTTATCATGGGCTTCATATAGCACCCATGAGATCTTCCATTCATTTGGCCTGCACTGCCTTTTGTTTTAGTTATTTTTTTTTTATTTATAAATGTCTTTTTTCATAAGGAGACTACAAGCTCCTCAAAAGAAAAGCCCACATATATTCTTCATTTAAATCATCCACTATGTGTACCTTGTTATCATATTCTCAGTTGTCTTTCAAAAATTGTCACCTGTTCTGGGAGCCAAGTTTATGGAGTAACTAGTAAATTGCCATAATTCTCCCATATTCATCTCCAAACAACCACAAAATAGTAACACAAAATAAATCCTAGAATGGCAGAACCAACAAAAAGACAGGGTGAAACAATCTTTAAGCCAAGAAACTTGGAAGATTGGCAAGAAAGGTCCATCTCACTTGGATGAAAAGGGAGTACATTACAGGACAGGAAGCATGGCAGCAAACCAGCAACAAGCCACACCTCAAGAAATCAGCAGGAGATCCTGAGTCCCAGTGTGGTGAAGAAGGCTAATGCCAACACCAGGAATCTCCACCTGCCTTAGCATAGCTGGGGGAATCAAGAGCCTCCAGCTCAGAGAACCCCTACATGCTTCAATGTAGCCTGGAGCAAACAGGTATCCTCCAGCATGACAGAAAGGAGGCCAGACCTCCACGTGCTTTAGTGTAGCCCTAGGGAAATGTAGAAACACCCCACTGAGACTCAGCACATGCCAACCACTATTTCTAGGACCCCAGCTCAGCACCAGGCAACATTCCAGATTCCTGCAGCCTCCAGAAGTGCAATTAAGGGGAGTGGAAGAAGGGAGAAAAATGTGAAACTCAAGATCTTATAAAAAATGGATTCTAAAAATTTTCTTGACATGGAACTGGGGAAAACATAAAAATACTATTAAACTGAGCAAAAAAATAATATCAGGTCTTAATGGTTTGCAGGAACCATTAAGGAAAGATCAATGAAAGACTCTAAAATATGGCTGGTAGAAAGACTAGATGTTCATCTAGCTTGAACATTCTAGGATGTTTAGAATACCTCCCATATCTAATGGTTTATCATGTCATCTCAACTTTTATTTTGTAATTTTTCTTTTGTTTGCTTAGTCATTGCCATTCTACTTGACCATTCTAGTGAAAATCCACATCATCTAATCCATGTATAACTGCAGTACTGCAGTAGCTTTTTAACTGGTCTCTATGCCTTGAATCTCTCCCTAGATGAGTCTACTGCATCTGCATCAGATTAACCTTTTTAAAATTCTACTTTCCTAACAACACTCTCCTAGTCAAATTTTCCATATTTTTTTCATTGTCTTCAGAGTCAAATACAAATTCTTGGCATTTGTATGCTCCAAAAATAGTCCTAAACATTATGCACAAAGTAAATTCTAATGCAGCATAAAGGAGAATTGAATGCAGTTGTCAAGTATATATGGGTCCATGTGTTTTGTGACCATTGGCAAGTTATTTGACAATCATTGCCTCAGTGTTCTCCTCTTTAAAATGGGGAAGATGCTTATTATATCCTCTTAACACTGTTATGAGGAAAGCACTTTTAAGCCTTATACTGCCAAATAAATATGATTTGTCACTATTATAATAATAAAATATTCTCTATATCTAGTAAGAACTAAATAAAATAATTCTGTTTTATATATTATCTCTTGAGATCACCTTGTTGGTACCTATGTTCATGCTTTACTAATTGAGCATGATCTGACTAATCTCTCCAAATGCTGCCATTCTTCCTGGTCTATCTCAAGTCCTTCCATGTTTTTTGGGATCCCCCCAAAACACACATGAGATCACATCCAGTGATCTCTGGCTTTGTATAGCACTCATGCTTCATTCTGTGAATTTGTCCTGCATTGCCTTTTGTTAGTTAGGTTCATTATCCAAGCTTATAAACATTTATTTATTTTCATAATGAGACTGTAAGCTCTTAAAGATAAAAACTTCATCTTATTTTTCACTTAAATCCTCTACTATGTCCATTTTTTAAAATAATTTACTTGGCAAGTTTTCAAAAATCATAGCTGATCGATAAATATAAACATACCACTACTGCTGAAAACATACTAAAATTACATGTCTCATTTGTATGGGATGGTGGTTTCAGGGCTGTACATTATCTTTCTGTGAGTTTCAATCAACAAATCAAATCATCTCAGTATAGGGGAATGTTTTAAGGATTGTTTCACAAATGGGAATTCCATTTCATGGGAGAAGGGGAAAGCAATGGAAAGAGTGGAGCTAGAAATTCAATATTAAGAAAACAGCTAACAGTTAATCTTATTTTAAAAAGAAATCCAAACCACACAATTATATCAATAGGTTTAGAAAAAGAAAAACCATGATAGCATGCAAGTCTCATGTATGCCAAAAAAACAAACAAACCTAAAGAACATATCCATTAAAGGGCATTTTAATATTACAAAATATGCATATTTGAAGCCAAATGCTAACATTATTTGCAATGAAGAAATACTAAAATGTTTCTAAAAATTGATGGGTAAATCAAAGATGCTTATTAACTTACATTTTAAGATTCTATCAATAATCACACGAAAAAGGTGAGGGAAATTAAAGGTGAAACATTGGCAAAGAGAAGATACAATTATCCCCACTTTCAGGTGGCATCATAGTTTACTTAGACAATCCCAGATAATTAGACAGGAAACTAAAGACACTGCCTCGATTAAAGTAACAAATTACAAAATAAATCCACAGAGGTGCCTCCCTTAAGGAGCATATACCTAAAAAGGAGGCTGTCTCTCTTAAGGAGCTGCCTCCCTTAAGCTGGGGTCTATCTTAAGCTGGGTCTCCCTTAAGGGACAACTTCCCTTAAGGGGTGACCTCCCTTTAGGAAGATCCTGCCTGGTGTGTTGTGTTATCCTTTCCTTGATTTTCTATTTGATTTACTTGATTTACTATCCTTTGCTTGATT